AGTGTGAGAGTGAGAGTGAGAGTGAGAGTGAGAGTGAGAGTGAGAGTGAGAGTGAGAGTGAGAGTGAGAGTGAGAGTGAGAGTGAGAGTGAGAGTGAGAGTGAGAGTGAGAGTGAGAGTGAGAGTGAGAGTGAGTGAGAGTGAGTTAGTGAGTTAGTGAGTGAGTGAGTTAGTGAGTGAGTGAGTGAGTGCGTGGGTTCGTGGGTTCGTGGGTGCGTGGGTGTGTGGGTGCGTGCGTGTGCGTGCATGTGTATGCAGAGAGTGGAGAGTACATATACAGTATATTCGATCTCTCACAGCTGGAACCCCACCTCCGCCTGCAGAGGACCAGTCAAGGAGGGAGATGCCTGCGAGGATGGAAGGCTCCAGCAGGCGGCATTTCTGGGAGAGAAAGGATCGAGTGGAGTGTGGATACAGTGGATACCGCTTGCCAGCGGCGATGCGTGGGCGGCTCTACCCTGGCCCGAGACCACATCTGTAACCCCCGCTACAATGCACCGATGCCCATCCAAATCCTGAACAGAACACACTGGATTTCTCCCCCAGCAACAATCCCGTCCTGCCCATGTCAACCCCTGAAGCAGAAGTTTTGAGACTTCTGGATCTCACAGGGTTGCACTCCGGGTCAGGCAACCCTCGCAACCCCAAGTGATCCTCGAACGGAAAAGGAGCGCTTAACCAAGTTTACAAGGCCCTCCAGAGCCTCGGGTACGCGCGATGACCACGGGCTGTGACACGGCGCCCATCGTCGGGCAGAGCAGCGCCTCCTGTCTTTCGAGCTCGGAAACCGTGAGCGAAAAAGACATGACATGGGCTCGGGTTGCGAGAAGGCAAGCGAGCGGAGAACAGCGAAGCTGAGCGTGAGAGAGCCTCCTGCTAGGGTCCAAAGAAGCCGTCAAGAGTCTACTTCGAGGCTTCAACAGTGAGGTTTTGAATCAGAGCTCAAGAGGTCAGGATCGCGACGGCGGCAGTGCCAACGCAGTCGTCAGACTGGCAACATTCGAGGTGGAATTGCTACTCTACGCCGCATCGCGTCGTACTGCTTCGCACAGTGCAGAAGCAGGACAAACGCCAGAGATCATCATGGACTCCGAGTAAGACGATTAACTCAAACGTTTGCACATGCAAAGTTCAGAACCCGATGCCGAAACTTAGGCACACTTCGAACTTTCCAAGCTGAACATGAACAATCGTCAGACTGAACGAACAAGAACTAGAGTAATGGTAACACGCCAGCCAAGACGCCATCTTTTCTATTAGCCGCAGCTGTCTCAGCGCAGCCATCGGCGGCCAGGCGCCTGCGGATGCTGGCTCCTGGACAGGTCTCAAACCGGCAGGGAAGAAACTCCAAGGCTCCCCCAATCAGCTGCACTGCTTCACTGGCGCAATGGACAGGACAATGCTAGCATGCACTCCGTTGCCGGCCGCCATACTAGGCTGAAACAAGCGCACTTGATGAGGACGACAATTGGCAGGAGTCTCGCGGTGAATTGCGGTAAGGCGTGCAGAAATCTTGAGTGTCATCCGTCTAGATTCGCAAATCCGAAACCCGCGAAAGCATCGCCTCAACTCGATCCGTCGCGGCGATCATACTGTAGGCCTGCAACGCACTTGCTTTCACAAAGGCAGTGAGTTCCAGTTGTCGGCACTTTAAGTTTTGCAGCACTACGATAAGTTGGGTCTCGGTCGTCTTGGCTCTTGACACGGTTTACGGCACCGCGGAGCGGAGACGAGTGCTGACATTCACAAGACGGACTTTCTTGTAATCGCTGAACTCGAGGAAGACACATAAGAAGAGGTATTGACAAGCGGAGTTGAAGTGGAGTTACAGTAACGTGGGCGCTGAGATTTGTACGGGGTCAGCAGCTACTTCTATGAAAAGGAAGAGATCCACTTACACCAAATGAAGATCTAGAAAACACTCTTTCCTGAGTGGAACGACCATATAAACTACCTCCTGCTTGTAAACTCAAACTGTGGCGTGAATGATGTCCCCCACAATGAACCCTGATCCGAAATAAAGAACCTCTGAGTGTTCAAATGAAACGCAGGGCGATGAACCCCTAATGTAAAACTCCCAATTAGCTCATGGTCTATCGGGCGAACACATGACTTCATCACTTCATTTAATATGCGTAACCCAACAGCCAGGCAGGGGACAAGGATTTCTAAAGTCTCTTGGAAGCCAACTTTCGGACTGACTACGGCACCAGGGTCAGGTCAGGTGTAACATTCCGGGTCGATTGCTGTACAGACTCCTGAATCCACACATCGCCCATGCTAACTCCCTGAATGCCTCAAACGGATAAACCCGAAGCTCGCCTTGAGCTTCCTGGATGTCTGTGCCAGGGATACCAGGGAGGTGGCTTCCAGGCCCGTGACAAGGATCTGGAGCTGTTGAAAGATGAAGCTTCGGGCCGCTCACCCGCTTTGGCGCAGCTTTACGGCACGGGCTGTGGGGTTTTTGGCTCAAGGCTTCGATCAAGGTAGATCGGGGGAATGCAGAAGGAATGCTCAATCCTACTTTCTCAGTTTTTGCGGAGCTTGACATTGAAAGTCAAGAAATCGCTGAAAGCTCAGATTTAGTGACTTCGTGCTGGAAGGCCAAATCACATTCTCACAGACTTGCACAAATTCGGCTCCAGGGTCTCGCCTGCCTTAGGGTTTAGGTGTTAGGGTTCAGGGTTCAGGGTTCAGGGTTTAGGGTTTAGGGTTTAGGGTTTAGGGTTCCGAGATGCACCTTCTACGGTTCCACATGGGGGCCATGGGAAATCGGCGGTGGGCTTCGAAAACAGGGACGTGTAAGCCGAATGACATGAGCTTCTAGTATCTCTTAATGTCCATGGACATCTATTCATGTCTATTAACATCTATTATCTAATACTACCTGCTCATATCTACTAGTCGCATTCTTCCCTGTGGGGTTCCATTACGAGGTTTCTGGCGGCAGTTTTGGAAGGCTGCGGTTCCGGCCTGCAGCAGCAAGTCCTGGCGAAACTACACAGACGACTCAGACGACGGGAGCTCAAGATATGCTTTGAGGTCTAAACTCTCAAACTAATTTTGAGGATCCTCGTAGTACCTTATGCAGGAAGCACAGATTAAAACTTTGGAGCTCCTATACCAGCAACCTGTGGCTAATGACAGGCGGTACAGATACCAACAGGAATATCCAAATCCCAGAGCACCTCATATCCGTGGACACCCAAACGCCGACTGAGATCACATCACGCTGAAACATAAGACCTTCCCTTGACCGCAAAACCGCACTTGCAAGCTTCAAGAGTTCACATGTCGCATAACAGAAGTATTTCCCACTATGTTACTATGAGCATACAGTGGCAATAAGGGGATACTAATAAAAATGACCAAGGCCCGCAGATCCCGAGTCCTCTGGAAGTGCCGGCAGCAACGGCAACCCTGGTTTCGAGGCTCCTCTTGCTGATGTGTCTTACTTAGGATGTAGGGTTTAGGGCTTCTTACTGAATTGCAGCGACTTGCTACCTTTGGTGTTTGCTGTCAGTACTGCTGCTATCACTATCATGACGTCTACCTGAAAACCAGTATTGCTTCGTTGCTGGTGTTGATTTCCCTGGCTACGAAGCTACGAAGCACAATTCGGGCTGTACTTCTTCTGACAGAGGCAGCAGTAGCCGCAGCAGCGGCTGCAGTGGCACTGGTAACAGTAATAGCGGTGGTAGGAGTATTGGTAATAATAGTAGCGGTGGTGGTAGTGACAGCGGCCATGTTGCGAGTAGTGCTAGCAGTGGCACTGGTAGTAGTCCTCGTCTTACGGAAGTAGCAGGCAGCACATGCGGACCAAGATATAATACTCAAGAAGAACCCTGGAGCAAAAGTCTTGGGCCAATCATCGGCTTAACTTCCTCATTCCGAGGGGCCCTGCCTCCCTCCATCGTTTAAACCAAACTCTGGACACACTCCGATCCCGCGAACTCCTTTCCGGAGGGGAGTTGGCGCCCAGTGTCTGGCATATCCACCTCTTTGTCTCGTGTAGAAGGAACACGATAGCAATCACACTCAGAACTCTCATGCTCACTCGAGGGCATTTGACTCCTTCAAACAATCAGTACTCGACCTTAGACAGATTTTGCAAGAAAACCTGCTCTCACGCTGTGCCAAGTGTGGGACCAGAGCCTGAACAGCATTCATTGATCACTTCAGGGCTAATGAAAATCAGGAGCTCGCTCTGAGGACCTTACGATAACGAACCTGGTTTAGGGTTTAGGGTTTAGGTTCCTACTCTCAAAGCAAACACAAGAGCCGCTCGAAGTAGGTGGTGCAGTCTCGACGCTCCTGGGCAACCGGCGGGAAAACCCCACGGAGCTGAAGTCAAACCTGGAGGAGGGAATCATGCTGCAACTTCCGTGCGCATGCATCCTCCCATCTCTAAACCAGCTAACCAGCTTCTCCCCAAACTCACACTTCGTAGCTTCAGGAGCTGACGAGGTTGTTCTCTCCTCTGACAAGACAGATCCAGAGGCGTTGAGAGCACGCTTAGGCCTCGGGCCTCTTCTTGGCTTCCTGCCAGGGCGAAGGCGGATCAGGACCTGCGCCAGCGCCCTCGATCCAAAACTCTTTATCACCATGGCGTACTGGCGTACTCCGCTTCCTGGGGTCTTTGGAAAGTTTCTCGGGGTCCGCCCAAAGAACCCAAACAACCCAAAACCCCAAGGCCTGAGCCCCAATAACTACCTATACTGTTTTGGGGGTTCCTTACTATAATTATGGTATAATAAACCCCAAAACCCGAAACGGAGCCCTCGGAAACCCACACTGAGGGGAGCCTCTGCAGGGCGCTTTCGGACTGGCCTCCGGCGAACGGCCCAAGAGATTTTTGGGATCGAAGGCTGACAACCCGTGAGAAGGCTAGTAACTATAAGACTATGATTTCTCATGATACAATCAGCAGAATTTTGCAGTACGGACTCGGCTTGAGGAGAAAGAGGGATGGGGCTAGAAGGGTATAGGCTTTAACTTTAGGGATTGGGACGTTTGCTGGGTTCTGCGGGTGTGAGCTTTCCGGCTTGGGACTGGGGAGCTCTCAAGAAAAAGAAACGACCATGCTTCTTGCAGAAATACAGACATAGACACCTGACCAGGTTGAACAATTGAATTCTCAGTAGGGGCTTCAGCATCAAGTCAGTCGAACACTGACAGCCACCATTACTTCGAGCTTCGAGTATTCTAGTACAAAGCGACCATCCCGCCTGGCCCGGGTCGGCAACCTCCCCCGGACCCGGAGTGAGCGCTGCGTTGGTCTCTGTCCTTGGAGTGAAACCATCTCGACTTAGGAAGCATCCGAATGCCATAAGAACAACATCGGCAATAGCCCGACACGGTAAAGAAGTACGTCTGAACAACTAACTGCTAAGCGAAGTAAGAGACATCCGAGCAGTAATGGTGGCAAGTTCATGGCAGCTAGAGTAAAACCAGACAAGCACGAAACTGCGCTTGGGCAGCGTGGACCTGGTGCTAGAAACAGGAACACTGCTCTGAGAACAACCACATGATGCCATGTTGCTGCCGGTGCAAAGAGAGACACCCATCGTGGTGAATTTGAAAAGTACGAGATAACCAAGCGCGGCAGGGAAGCCCCAGCAACAGAAGTTGAAAAGGGGCCTAAACAATTGCCTATATATTCAGGAACAGGAACAGGTATATAATTTTTTTTGGGGGGGTCCTTACTATTATTATAGTATAACAGACCCCAAACCCCAACCGGCCC